AGATATGAATATCAATTGTATACGATATTATATAGTAATATGGGAGCAATGCTAAATTTCTTGAGCGCAATAATTGCACTGTATAAATGTCCTCATTTTTAAGAGAAGTGCTGAAATATTTAGGGATAAAGTGTCATGATGTCTTCAAATAACTCTCAAATAGTTCAGAAAGTTGTGTGTGGGGAGAAAAAAAGAGATAGGGAGACAGAGAAAATGAGGCAAAATGTTAACAATTGATTTATCTAGGTGAGTATATGGGTGTTCCTATAGTAGTTTTCCTATTTATTTTGTAGATTTGAAATTTTTCATAACAAAAAATTTGGAAAGGTGAAATTAAATGGTTTTAGGAAATAATATGCAGAATAGTGATTGATTAGGGAAGGAGGCAGTGACTAGGAGGGGAGCTCCTGACTTCTGGGTCATCCTATTTCTTGAACTGGGTGTGTTCACTTTGAGAGGATTCATTGAGCTAAGCACTTACAATTTCTCTTTGTGTGTGTATGTTACATGCCAATAGATAAGTTTTTTAGAATAATCATCATCATAAAGCATCCTCCACCACATCTATCCCCTGACCTAGGTCTATAAATGCAGATGGGCCCCGGCTGGAGAGAAGGCTGAGGCTGGGCCATCCTCCCCTGCCAGTGTGTCACACCAAGAGGAGGGCAGTGGGCCTGAGTCCATGACAGCCTGTCCCCTAGCCTGACCCCTTGGACAGGAGGCAGGCTGCTTCCCAGGAGGTGCCTCGCCCACCCCTCGGAGCTGAGCTGTACTGACTTCTGCTGCCAGCCCTGCGGCTGCAGGTTGGCCTTGACTCCACACTTCTCAGGCCTCGGCGTTCTCCTCTCCTGTCAGCCCTGCGGGCCCAGATAGATGTGGGCTTAATGAGGCATCTCATCCTCTGTGAGGAATAAGTCCAAGGGTCGCGTTTTCCTCTCCTTGCATTGTTCTCCCACGTGCTTGATCGGATCTGCTTCACTAGGTGGAGACACAAATGTGGTCACGTCTCTGTGTTTTGCAGATTAATTGCCAGAATCTTCATTTGCCTAAATTAATGGGAGTGACAACAACAGCTAACATGCAGAGCTTACTACATGCCAGACCCTGCTCTAAGTACTTTATGTATACAGTAAGTTCTCACTTAACGTCATGAAACTGTTGCAAAACAACTTATAATAAAACCAGGTTTACCATAGGCTAATGAATATAAGCAACGGTTAAGTTCCTACAGCATCTCATCAATGTTATAATGAAACGATGCTGAACAATGCCAAATAACTCATCTAATGTTTACAACTCTTTGAGGCAGGTTTTATATATACATATATATATATATATACATACATACACACACACACACACACACACACTGAGTGGCCAGATTATTATGATCTCTGAACACATAATAATCTGGCCACTCAGTGTATATCCTATATAATAAAAGGCTAATATGCAAATTGTTCCCTCGACCAGGAGTTCAACCAGCAGGCAGGCTGACCAACTGCACATGTCCTCTGCCCCTGGCCAGGCTGGCTGGACCCCATCCATGCACAAATTCATGTACCGGGCCTCAAATATATATAATATATATATTTTAACCCATTTTGCAGATAGGGGAACTGAAGCATAGGAAAGTAAAGTAATTTGCCGAAGAAAGACTAGCTTCATAATTTGCAGGGCCCAGTGCAAAATGAAAATGGGGGACTTTGTTCAAAAATTATTAGGACTTTCAAGACACTAAGCATTAAGCCAAGCACAGGGCTTATTTAAAGCTGACCTAAGACTGCACAGGCCTGCAGTCCATGAAGCCAGACCTGTACACACCATTAACCAGTAAGTAATAGGACAGAAACATGAATGTGAGCAGTCTGACTCCAGAGTCCATTCTCCAACCATCTCTCTAACACTCCAGCACACTGGTCCTGCACAGTCAATACCGCCATATACACAGCTCAGTGCTGCCCTTGCTGGTCCAATCCCTGGACCCTCACACACAGAACATCTTGCATTTGACATCTTGCATTTAAGGGGCAAGATGGGCATAGACCTCCCCAATAAGCAAGTAAGCCTGATAGCTTTGTTCACCTATTCAGACTCCCCATTTCCTGGTGGTGAGTTTCCTCTCTGGGTCCTTTCTATCTTTTCCTGACGAAGGTCTCAGAGGACCCCAGCTCAGTTCATCAAAGAGGCTCCCTGACCGAAAGGGAATGGTCAGTAAGAGTCATGACCCCAATCTTCCCTGGAGGATTTCTGGTCCATATGCAAATATCCCCACTTCCGTGACCAGCTCTGCACAGCAAAACCGCCTTATAATCACAATCCTATTTTCAAAGCAATGTGTTTGCTTACTTATCTCACAGTTGCATAACTAAGAGAAGAGACATTATTTATTTGCCAGAAAATCTAGTTTTGCCTTCCTAGGCATTTCTTTACACAGAATTTAATATAACTTATAATTATCAACTAGAGGCCCAATGCACAAATCCATGCACAAGTGGGGTCCCTCAGCCTGGACGGCGATCTGGCCAATTGGGGCCTTCTCACCCAGTCCCAATTGGGACCTATTGGGGCTGGCCAGCTGGGGATAGGGAGGTTGGCTGTGGGACCCTGTGGTGAGTGTCTGCCCCCTGGTGGTCAGTGTGCGCCATAGTGACCGGGCGACCAGTCATTCGGTCAACCAGTTGTAATGGTTGCTTAGGCTTTTATAAATATAAATGTCATACTCAGGTACATTCTTAATGACATAGCTAAAAAGGGATTGAGAATGAGACTTTAAAGAATGAAGGATTGGAGGGGTGAAAGCTAGTGGTATTTGGGGACTATAACCTCACTCATGCCCACTAGGCTGGTAAGGCCCAGGAATGTCCAGATTACTCTGGGTACCATGGGCATCTCTGCAGCCAGGTTGGCATCTCTGTATTAGAAAAGTATTCAGCTGCAGGTAACAGAATACCAACCAACAAATGGACTAAACAAATAGAGAGTTATTATTTTCACCTGACAGAAATCTAGAGGTATTATAATTACTAGCACTGGTTTACCAGGTCATGGCTGGAGTCACTACAGTTTTTTTCTGGTCTTTTCTTCATGCAGACTGATGGCCACTGCAAGTCAGCATTCATGTAAGGAAAGGGGGGGGAGGGGAACAAGGAGCAGCAACAGTAGCTTCCAGTGCCTTTTATCAGGAAAGGAAAAACCTTGCTAGTAGCCCCAGCTTAAGCCACATTGGTCTTTACTGTGTCATCTGTCTCTCTAGCTGCAAGGGAGTTTGACGATATCTTATCTGGGGATATCTTAGCCCCAGACAAGGTATCATCTAGAACAAAATTAGAATGTTAAAGCAAAGAGGACGATGCCACACTCTTCCTGCTATAATCTCTCCAGGTGGCACAAGACCCAGGGGCCACTTCCCAACAACCCCAGAGGATGCCCAGGCACCCCTGGCCCTCTTAGTGTGCCAGGCAAGAAGGACCCACCCAAGAAGCCAGGGTTTCTCCTAAGTGGAAAAGCCCAGCTGACATTGGCTTTCTCCAGAAGTGATTAATTGTATTCTGCCGAGCTGGGGGAAGGCAGATAATTAGCTGTAGACTGATTAAGGACAAACCAGGCAAAATCCCAGATGTGATAAATGTGAACTTTCCATCTTCCTCCCTCCCTTTCTGTCCTGCCACCACCAGCAGCAGCCAGCCTATAGCACCCCTCACAGTGTGCCTGCCTGAAAGGCCAGCAGACACCATCCAGGCCTTCTGTGCAGACTGCCCAGCATCAACATGGGCAGCGTGGCAAAAGATGGGTGGGCATACTGGGTTTTTTTTCCCTGGGCTTGGCTGCTCTTCCAGCCTTTTTCCAATCCCATTGTTCTTTACCAGGCACAGAACCAGGCCTGGGGTTTCTAAAATAGTCTCTGCCCTGAAGAATCTGTGTAGAAACCTAGAAAGAGGTTAGTTCAGCATGACTCTAGTCTGGCCAGGGCTCCATGGAGGGGCTTTGGGTGGGTTTTGTGGATACAGCAGTGGTCCAGGAGAGAGGGGAAGGACACATGCATAGGAATGGAAGGAAATGAGCAGAGCACAGTCCTGGGCAGTGAGGAATCTGGGGACAAAGGCCTGGGTGGGGGCGAAGGCTGGGGCAAGACAGAGATAAGGTCAAACAAGAAACAAGACTGTGGATGTGGTGCAGACAGCTGTTTCCAGCCTTAGTTTCTCCACAAAATGTGGCATCCACATATAGGACATCCCATAGGTAATCTGGGGTGATTTCCACCTCCACCTCCAACTGTGATGCCTTGCCTGTATTTCACACTCCAGAAAGCTCCTGCCAGATGAAAGCAAATTTATCCCACTGTGGCCTGGGCCAAAGTTTGGTGGAAAAGCTCACTGATACATGAATCTCCTGCAAAGAATATATTTCAGCAACAGACAGCAAGAGAAACTCACTGAGTATAACTTCTCAGGTCCTCTGTTTGCACCCAGGAGACATCCCCAGGAAGCAGCAATGGTGAACACTTGTCCGGGGAAAGGCGTGGGAAGCACCCCACCCCACTTCTGAATCACTCATCCATTCCTTGTCTCAGCGTGTCATTCAAGGAAGCTTCCTCTGACCCCCTGATCCCTCTCAGATCAGATTCTCTGTATTTACCTTCATCTAGTGTATCCCAGTTTACATGAATGCACGTGGGTGACTATCTTTAGCAACACAGATTTAATCAGCAACTATTTATTGAGCCATAAACTGTGATAAGTTCTGGAGATACCATAAGACATGGGTTTGCCCTCATAGAGCTTACAGTCTAGGCATCCATCCCCCTCAGACCTTCCATAGGGGCTCTCCCTAACTCCAGAAGTTGAGACTCCTTCCAGCCCCAGTAGAACAATGGGACAACTCTATGGCTGGCCACCGAGTCCCTCTCCAGGCATTGTCCTCAGCCAAAGAGAAGCATGTCATTCCTCAGAGCAATGCCTGCATTAATGGTGTGATCATTTGAAATGACAAAGGCCTACCTCCCTCCTTGCTGCAATCCAGGAAATTTTTGGAGGATCACCCAGCTTCAGATCTTCCCATGGGGCTGTTCACCTTCTTCCTCTGTCCAATCCTGCTCCCCTCACTCCCTTTTTAGGGGCATTCCTGGGAATACTCCTCAGTGACACTCCTGAGAGCAAATCTTCAGTCTCAGAGTCGTTCCCCAGGGAAGGTGAGTAAGGGACGCGGTGGGAGCAGGCGTCCACCCTGGTGAGCAGCTGCACCTGGAAGGAAGGACTCGTTATTCTATCTCACCTGAAGATGCCCTTTTAGGACTTAGCCATAATCTGGCCCAGCCCCTGCCCATCCAGCTAGAGAGCTGGACCAGTTCTGGAAGCCAGTGCCTGGAAGGCCTTGGCACAGGCCTGGGAAAGGAAGAGAGCCTTGCAGCCAAGTGATTGAGGGGACTCCAGAGGAGAGTGTATCTGTGCTAAGAAGCCCACCGGCCCCTGGAGTCTGATTCTAGCTGATTAAGGGGCACCCAGGGCCAGTATTTCAGCAAGACACCTGAGAAATAAGCCGAGGGAAAGTGTTAATCTTGGATTTACGACAACGACAATGTGGAAGGTGTCAAACTAGCTCCGAATTTTCTAACTCGGGCCCAATGTGTGGGAACGCGCCTGGGTGGGTGCGAGAGGAGGGCGGGAGAGGCAGGAAGGAATTAGACTTGCACCAACTTCGTAATTGAAATCATTAATAGCAGTAAAATAAGTTGTCCGTCCTACATGAAATTTGTAGTAATGTTTGGTTACTGAGATTAATTTCTAGTAATGAAACACTAATTAAACCATTTATTGAGTAATGTATTTGCTTGGTGGTGTTTTATGGGTGTTCTCTTATAAATATTTTAATTACTTTTGCTAAGTAATTAGAATTTACTAAATAATTTCCAAACTATTTTAATTCCTAGCAATTCTCAGCCAACCAACAAGTAATTGTTTTACTTTATATCAGTAATTAAAGTCTTTTTTTTTTTTCTCAAAAACTTTGAGTGAAGAGAAAGACGGTAATAAAGACAGTCTGTTCTATCACAGGGTTGGATATATTAAAACAAAAGCGACATAAAATCACTCATAATCTACCATTATTCAAACACTGTTAATGTTTTAAGCACCCAGTATTCCCAGACGGTCTCCCACCCAAGTACCAACCAGGCCCGACTCTGCTTAGCTTCCCAGATCAGATGGGACTGGGTGCGTTAGGGGAAAGAACAAACACTGTTAATGTTTTTGACTATCTCTTTACAGATTTTTTTCTTATGGGTACATATCCTATTTTTTCAAAATTGAGATACCAACTACATGCTTTCCAGCAACCAAACTGCCAATTTATGTATCATACTTTCTATTCCATTAAAATCCCAAACAAATTGTATAGAGATATTCTCTTTAACAACTTAAGAGACTTTTTGAACATAATATTTCTTGTTTCTACCTCTATGCACCTACTATGTGTCAGACAGTATGCAGAATGATTTATGCCTTTCTCACCTGCTGCAAAATCACCTGGTGACTTTGGCCTTCAAAGTCTCTGTCTTTAACCACACCCTCTCCTCTGACAACCACCTTAAATAACTTTTTAGTACACGTGAGAGGCATCCTCCCCCAAACAGACCAAAAAGTTTTCTTAGAGAAAGGAGATATTTTGCCAAGTCTTTGAATAAAGAGAGGGAGGCAAATTCACAGGAGGGAAGGATGACAGTGACTTGGGAAAAGGCTTGGTGTAGTAACAGAGCAGGGGCACTGAAGTCCCCTCCAGAAAAAAATAATTAAAATAAAATAAAGTTCCCCCAAAAGAGAACCACCAAGCAGAGCACAAAGCTGGTGCTCAATCCATATTTGTTGTTTCTCCGAAGAATGCATAATCCCCACAGATGCATCCCTGTGGTGCCACCCTGTGTTATTTATTCTCCATTCTCTGTATCCATTTTCTCTCCCTCCCTAGAAAGTATCACACCTCAGGCACTGCTATAGGCTCTCAAAACTCACTCAAAAGAGGTGAGGAGGAGAGGGCCCCAGAATCGCTCCTTACTCCACAGGGAGGACAAGGAAAACCAGGCCTGGCTTCCTTTAGCAGGAATCCCTCTTCCCTGTGAACCAGAATAGAGCTCATTTTTAATAATAGCTGACATCTGCTAAATCCTTACAGTGTGATAGGCCCTGTATTAAGCATTTTACACACATTATCTCACTTAAATAATATGTAATGAGTAAGACTCATAGAGTTTAAGTGAGGTACCAGTAAGTGGGTGAAGCCAAGTTTCTCTATTTCCAGAGCTCAAACCCCTTAAGTGTCATATTCCATTGTTTCCACATGGTAAGTGATCCATAGAGCAAGATGAAGAGGGAAAGGGAGAGAGGGAAGGAGGGAGGAAACTCTGCATCATTATAATGCAGGGGAAATAGTGTCATTTGCCATAAGTAGGAGGTAATGTTAAAATAAACACATTATGTTCTGGCTTGGTGGCTCAGTTGGTTGGAGCATTATCCCGTACACCAAAAGGTTGTGGGTTCAATTCCAGGTCAGGGTATATACCTAGGTTGCTGGTTCAGTCCCCAGTTGGGACATGTACGGGAGGCAACCGGTCAATCATTGTTTCTCTCTCACATCAATGTCTCTCTCTCTCTCTCTCTCTCTCTCTCTCTCTCTCAAATAAATAAATAAAAAATTTTAAATAAAATAAAATAAAATAAAATAAAATAAATGCATTATGATTACAATAAAAAATGTTGGTCTACATGTCACCTAAAGTCATTGGTTCTACGCTTGGGACACACTGGAATATTTGATCTCTGAGGTCCCTTTCTAGCACACAATTCTAGAGTCCTCACAGGTTACCTTGGATGTTTTCTGAAGGAAAATTAGATTCCCTGGGTCTTGGTCATGTGGGTAATAAAATCCTATAGCAGATGCTGGCCCAGATTTTTCTCTATATTCTCCATAGCATTCACTGCAGTAGCTCAGGTGGATTTGTGGAAGCTGAATTATGAATTTCCTTTTTCTCTCTAGGACTTAGATTTCCCCTGAGGGGGGAAAAAAAGAGGGCTGGACTAGCTGATCCCTAAGGACGTCTCACTCTGCAAATCATTGATTCATTGGATCTAAGAAGTGGTCCCTTTCTTACTGGTTGTCTGGATTTCTGCTCTATTACCCTTGTAGTAAGCAGAACTCTAAAAACAACCCTCCAAGATGCCCATCCCCTGGTTATTTAGTCAGACTCTAATCCAGGTACTGCTAGGAAGGGCCTTTGTAGATGCCATTAAATTACAATAGTTGACCTTAAGAAACAGAGATCATCTTGGTGAACCTTTCAAAAGCGGTGAGTATTCTCCAGCTGGTGGCAGAACAAGTCAGAGAGATTAAAAGTGTGAGGGGAATTCAAGATCCTGGAGAGTCTCTGTTTCTGAGATGGATGAAGAGCACATGCGAGGACCTAGAGTGGCTCCCAGCCAACAGCCAGCAAGGAGAAGGGAATCTCATTTCCACAGCTACCAGGAACTGAAACAGCCATCAACCTGATGAACTTGAAAGTGGATTCTTCCCCATAAGCTCCAATAAGATCTTACTAGCCTGGCCAACATTTTCATTTTGAGCTTGCACGGGCCAACTCACCTGGACTTAATGACCTACAGAGCTGTGAGATAATCAATGGGTATTGTTTTAAGCTGCTATGATTGTGGCCATTTGTCATATTGCAGTAAAAAAATAAATGCAATTCTTGACCTTATCAAGCCGTGTTCTTATTATTTTTAGCATGGACTGATAGGGATAAGGTTAGGAAGGAATCAGTTTTGGGAATTTTGAACTAAGGCTTCTTTCTGCCAATTTCATGGGAGTCTAATAAGCAAGTACTAAGAATTGAATTCCTACTATGTTCTCAGGTCTTCTATTGGAGGTAAAATTGCATGGAATAGATAAGCAGGAAGACTGTGAGGAAAGTAGAAAAACAGTGTACACTAGAGATGTTGAGTAGGCTTCATGGAACAAGCAAAACTTGGAGACTGGATAGATTTAAAATTGGTAGAGAAAGGGGAAGGAGTAGAGATATTCTAGGTCAGAGGAGCACAGGAAAGGAGTGGAGGTAGAAATGAGCATGCTGTTGGTCGATAATGGTTCCTGAGGACAGGACAGGTTTCTCAAGCCCTGTTGTTTGAATTTGGCTACTATACCAAGCTACCAGTTGATAAGGCCAGGGAAATAGATAAATAGTGTGCTTTTCGGCAAGAATAGGGGCTGCCTTAGTCTTAGACAAAGAAAGATGAAAGGAGGGTTTGGAAAGAAGTATAAAGGACACCAAAACAATGGCAATGTTTGCCATGAAACAGATCCAAGTTAAGTAAAAGAAGGAAGATCATGAGGGAAAACACAAGCACAAAGGCACATGACTATGTCTTCACCCCCACCACCATGGTAGGGAGGAGAAAGAGAGAAACCATCAGCCTATAAGCTTTGTGCCTTACACAGGACATTATCCAGGTAGATGTCTGGGCCTTGAGTAGATTGGCTTGCTACAAGGGGTGCTTATGTTGGGAAGCAGGGAAATGATGGTTAGAAAGCTTGGTTTGGGCTACACCTTAAAAAGTAGGAAGTAAAGCAGGGTTTTTTAATATTGACTGAACATTGGAGTCATCTGGGGTTCTATCAAAAATAATGATTGATCTCTGTATCTTACCTCAAAAATCCTGATGTCCTAGTTCAACTTTGGCCTCAATATTTTTTAAATATCATAGGTTATTCTAAAATTTCACCAAGGCTTAGAACTACAGATGTAGAATCTGGGCTTCTTCTACTAGCCAGTGGAATCTATTAAGAATATGCGAATGACATACACAATGAAAAACAATACTAATTGGAAAGAGGGCCAAGTCAAGGAAAAATAATCATAGAAAAATAGCAATACAGCATATTTTGGATTCCAGACACTTTTCTAAAGTATTATATATGTGTTTTAAAGTACATATAATATACTTGTAAAGTTTATTATACATATTTATATAATCTGCATCAGAATTACTGAATTAAAAACTCTTGTGACAGGGCCCTGCACTTTGTGTGTTTTGTTGTTGGTTGTTTTTTTATTTTTAGAGAGAAAGGAAGGGAAAGGGGAGAGAGAAACATCAATGTAAGAGTGAAAAATCAATTGGCTGCCTCCTGCACGGCCCCTAACAGGGTCCCTCTGCATGTGCCCTGACTGGGAATCAAAAGAGCAGCACCCAATCAACTG